CAATGGCTGAATTGAAGGGTGTGTCACTTTCAACCTAAATGGATTTTTTTTTTGGTACTGGGGAATGAATTCGGGTCCTTGTGCTTGTGGGGCAGGCAATGGAACCACTGAGCTAAATCCCTGGCTGCTTTCAACCTAAGTGGAGCAGAAGGGGTTTATCAGGGCACTCAGAGCCAAGGGTGCTGAGAAGCTATTTAGTGACTAAGTGCCTTCTCCTGTGCAGCGTGGGATAGGTACTAAATGACGAGCTCACACCCGGAAAGTGAGGACTCTCCAGACAAGCAGCAATCGCATTCTAAGAGCTGGTCCTACAATGGTATCCGGAACTCTCTGGACAGCTGGTTCTCTGGAAGCCACAGTGGTGCTTGACTGGGACTCTGGTTTAACCAGCTTTTTAAGCTTCACATTAAACAATGTCAAAGATCTTTGCCCAAATGAGAGAACAGAGGCACCTTTCAATACATAATTTTTTATAGTTTGACAGATTGGAAAGCAGGTAATTACTCTGTTTGCAGATCAATCACTTAGGGGAAACATGAAGAAGGGGATTTTGAAAGGGGTTTGACGTGTATTTTCAGGCAATGTGCTTTCCTATCAATGGGGCTCTTGAGAAAGTTAGCCTGGCCCTGGCCAATGCCATGAGCAGGCTGCACCCAGTGTCCCTGGACTCCAGAGCCAGCCCAGTTCCCTCGTCAGAAGGGAGAGCTGCACATGGTCAAGATAAGCAGAGGGGCTGTGATGGCTTTCGAGCAGGGATGAGCTATTCCTTCCAGCAAACAGTGTCCAAGCTGAGTGTTTTCCTCATTTGTACAAGGGCTTTGAGGGGGCTTTTGTCCTCATTAGCCCATGGTAAAGACCAATGCAACAAGCACAGATGAGAAAGCACTTAGTGGCTTGGCCATCTGAGAAAATGCAGGGAACAGAGCAGTTTCTGTGGGGCACTACCTCTGCTGACTCTTCCCAAGAGGAGGGGTTACGGCAAGTTGTTCTGGCTAGGGAAGTTGCCAGGCTGTGGGGGGAGGACACTGCTTCCTGATTGTGTCCGTAGCCATTCCCCATCCCAGAAGAGAAAAGCAGGGGGAACTTTTATGGGGTCTCTGCCTGTCTTCTCATCCCTTTCCTGGGGGTAGGTGGGGCCTCTCCTGGGGTCTGGGAAGGAAGTGGGGTCTGGCAGGAAGCTTCTCCATCCTTGCCAGCTCCCCACTAGGCCCACAGCCCCTCCTTGCTAGGGGCCTGTAGGCTGCAGTGTCCCAGTACACTTATCCTGTATGAAGTAACTCAGTCTTTTAAATTCCGAGGCAATGTTTTAGCAACCATTTGGCCCCAGGTCTAAAGCAATATTCTTCTTTTAGTCTTAATTTAAAAAGCTGGCATTTTAATTTCATTTGACTGTCTCCTGGACCTTATTTCTCAATTGATTCTAAACATGAGAAAGGCGAAAATAATTACTTAAATCCTCTTTAAACATTTCCCAAGGTAGAAACAGGCATTCTCAAGCTATCTGACACCTTTGAACTCTTCAAAGAAACCATAAATGATAAAGATGCAGAGGCCAGCTAAGAATCCACTTTGCTCATCTCAAACTCTGAGTGGTGTAACTTATATCTGCCTTAGCAAACAAATGACTTGTTGTGAGTTCAGTTTGTTGACAAAATAACTTTTAATATATGTAGGGTGGTCCTGGGGGTGAAGAGGTTGCCTCTTTGGGGCCCTCAGAGTGTGCTGGCCTCACCTCTCTCCTCACCCGTCATACTCTGGGATGGGACTATTGATGTCCTGGTCTGTCTCCACCATTACACCCTACCAGTATGGACACTGAAGACTTATGTGTCTTATACATGGTATGTGGGTGATTAGATGCATAACTGAATGGAGGGAGTCTCGGCCTCGAAGGAGAAACTCTGCTGAGGTACTGAGGCAGAGGACAACAGAGTGCCTTTTCTCTTGGCAGGGGCCACTCTGACACAACCACCTCTCCATGTCACCCAGTGGGATGTCACCACAGAGCTGCCCTGACTAGCTGCATGGGCACCATCTTTGTAAGGTGGAGAGATTAATGCAGCCATCTCAATAGTGGGCATCCCCACTGGCGTTCTTTCTTTCTTTTTTCCTTTTGGTACCAGGGGTCAAACTCAGGTCCTTGTGCTTGTGAGGCAAACGGCAGAACCATTGAGCTAAATCCCTGGCCTGCCACTGGTGTTCTTAATGAAAGTCTCAGAAATGCAAACCCAGAGCAAAGGTTTTTCTGTAGTTAGTGTGCAAGATCTGATAGGTGAATTATTTTGCTGACACACATCAGCTTCAACAGACATATTGAACAGCTGAAGTCCCTTTTGGTATAGGAGCTGATGTGGGCTTGAGTCAGATAGTCTGCTTTCTGTGCTGGTGACACAATCTTAGGCGGTTCCCTTCAGGTCCCTGAGCTCCACCTCTTGAGTCCATAAAACGGGGCTAATGATCCTTTCTTCAAAGGGCTATGGCGAGAAGACACAAGATATTTGGGAATCCCATCTGTTTTTTCCAAAAAGAGAATGTATACCACTAGGGCTACGTGACTGGTTTTAGTTATCTATGGGTGAGCATAACAGTTTCTTATATGTTTAGAAAAAAAGTGGACTAGTACGTTAAACTTATGAGATACCAATCACTTAAGATGAGGCTAATGTAGGTATGGGAGTCAGGTCTGAGTCTGTTTAAAGACAAATATCAAATAACAAGAAACAGTACAAATGGAAGGAGAGTGTGGCAAAAATGTATGAACTGGAACTCGAAGGCCTGTCCTTTAGGTAGAATATCGGAGTCCCTAAAACTCTCGACTGCCAGTAGTAGTAGCTTTACATGCTGTGGCCAATGGACCATCACACCAGGCTCTGGGGAAGCACTGAAGGATAACCAACCACCAGACAAAGCTGGAAAGAGTTAAAAGAAAGGGGTCTGTGGTTTCCTGGCCCATCCCCCAGCAGCTAATCTGTCACCTAATGAAGAAGGGGCAGGGACAAGTGAGCTAGCTGGCAGTTCACTTACAGCAAACTGATTAAGAGTGTTCAACCAACAGCAGACTGTAGACCTTTCCAGAGAAAATAAATAGAGTGTAGACTGTATGCAAATGTGTTTGTCACTTTGACAGCACGTCTCAATTAAGGCATCTCGTGGCTGTGGGTAGGCTCTGCGGCTGCAGCTGGAAGGGAGAGAGCCCGCTGCATGGCTGATACTAGGGGCTTGACCTTAATCCACATGCATGCATTAAAAAAAATCCTGCCTTCCTGTACACTTGCATAATGCTGGCAGCCACGTGAGGGAAGTGACAAACGGGGAAAAAAAGCCACTTTCATCCTCTCCAGTTTGCAGACCTGTGAAGGCACAGACAGCTCTTATTTCAACAGAGTTTGGGGTGGCTTTTTTAATTGTTTATCCCCCACCCGTGCACATGCACACACTCTTATTCTGCATTTAGCTAGGAATGACATTAAAGCATCTCTATTTCTTGCTGAAATGGAAAAGAAAGTCTTTCTCCATTTCAAATAGGGCCTCCTTTTTTTGTGTTTCGAAAAAGGAATGTTTAACACCATGAAATCCCTCTCCCCCCGCCCCCTCTTTCTCTGTAATGGGCTCCAAACTCCAGCGAGGGGCTCCTTTCATGGCAGGTTAGTATGTGCAGGAATGAGGACAAAGGAAAGCAGGAAGCTGACTCTGGAATGCCATGCTGGTGACAACCAGGGGCTGTGCTTTCAGCAAACACAGCCGGGAACTAGGGTGCAGAATTTTCCAACAGGGCCCTAGCTGGGAGCAGGCAGCTTTTCAGAGGGTACCAACACCACTGAAATTTGAAGATGATAATTAACCAAATGAACACTGCCCCATTCATGCTTCTTCTTTTGCACTCACTACATTTCAATTTTTATAACATCCTTTTAAGGCATAAAAGCAGAAAAGGGGGTAGGTAAATCACCCTAAGTTAAAAGAGGTAAGAACATATTATCTGAAAAGATTGATTAGAGAAGAATGATTATGTTTCAACCAATTCATATCTTATAGTAATAGCCACAGCAATAATTTCATTAGTTCCCTCCACTGCTAAATTACTCAATGCCTGGTGCATAGCATGCACTTGATAAACAGGAATGTTTTAAATGTACAATTCTAGGCCATTTGTGTGGTAAAATAACAATCACATCTAAAGTAAAAATCATTTAAAGACTAGTATAATCATGCCTCAGCTAACAAATGGGTAATGAATCAGGTGATTTAAAAATAAATAACCTTGCAGATTCTAGTTACAGCCATATCTTGCTAACAGAGCCATTTCTCAAAAAAAAAAAAGACTTTTGTTAACCAAAGGAATCAGTTCAAGAGAAGGGAAAGGTATATAATATTTTTCAACCAAAAATTTAACGATGGATAGGAAATGGATAAAAAATTTTAGTTTCCATATGGAGTACAATGTGTTACCTAAGGGGAGGGCAAGACAAATTGTCAATGTTCAAATTATTGAAAATAGTTGGGTAAAGAATTGGATCTCTAGAATTGTAGCGAGGGTGTTTACTCTGAGAAGCATGACTCCCAATATTGATTTTCAGGAAGTACATTAATAAAGAACTCCTAATTGATTTTTTTAAGGCTTTGCTTGTTGCCTTTTATTTGAAGGTGCAAAGAAGGGCCTGGGATGCTAAAGTGTTCTAATGAGATGCTTAGCTAACAGGCACCTTAAACACTGTGCTTGGGAGTAGGGGAGGCAGCAGCTGCATTTAATGACTTTATTCAATCTCAGAGCTAGCTGATGACCAGAGCCATGCTGTCTCCTCCAAATTTTTGAATATTCACCTTCAAAACATGTTTATACCAGATAAACATTTCAAGTGAAAAACTCTGCAGAGCTGCTTTGCCAAGGAGAGCTGGAATGAGAAACTGTCTGTGGCATGTGCTACAGTTTCTGGTACAAACAAAACAAAAGCTTCAAACCAAAAAATGAAATAGACCCATAAAAGGGCCAGGGTACATACCTGCCCAAAATGGACGGTGATTGGCCTCCGGTCCTCTCGGAGCTTGGGGTCCTTGGCCTGCACTAGTGGCGATGGCGCAGTCTTTGGCAGTGGCTCTTCTGCAGTGGAGGCACAGCCGTTTTCTGCAAAGTCCTGCAGGGAGGGATATGGTCTGGGGTTGGTGCTTGGGCCCTGGCCCCATGCTCCTTCATAGCCCACAGCTAAGAAGCCTGACAAGGAACTCCCTGGGGGTGGGGGTGGGGTTCTGAGCCTATCCTCCTGGAGAGAGGGAGGAAATGGAAAGCTAACTTGACCCTTTGACTTTTAAGGACTAGAGGGACCAAAATCACCTACATTAAATTATAAAGATAATGTAATTCACAGTAGTGAAAAAGTCATGTTTTAGCCCACTATCTTACATAGCTATTTTCATTTTTACATATTCACTTTTTTTACATGCAGACATTTAAAAATTACTTGCAATCACAGCTCATTCTTAATTTTATGTCCTATTTTCCGTAATACATTATAAGCATCACCATGGTGCTACATAGCCATTATAATAATTTCAATGAATATATAATATTCTATTGAGCAAATATACAATAATTTAATAAACCATTATTTATTCCTAATTTTTCAAAAACTTTCAACCAGTGATAAATATTACAGATTTCCATTCTTTTGTATTATTTCTTCTATGGGAAGCCCTAGGAATGAAATTATTAGGTCAAAATATATAAACATTTTAAAGACTTTTTATTCATTCTACCAAATTGCTTTCCAATTTACACCAACTACCAACAATGGATGCATTATCAGCTTCACAGTACTTGTTAGCCTTATCATTTTTAAAATGTATTGCTAATTTAATAGGTGAAAAATTAGACCTCATTGTTGTTTTAATTTGCATCACTTTGATTATCTGTGAATGCAGAAGTTGACTTACTTATGATGTTACTGTTTGTGAACGTGTCATGTCCCTGTTCCTCTTTTCTATCCTGTCTTTCAAGAAGAGAATAAAGAGACTGAATTCTCACTTAGGACCCCTGACTTAGGGGACATTTAGGGAACCACAGATGTATTTTTAAATCTAGAAATTTACATTACACTTGTACTTCTAATGAGTGAAGTCAAAGTCTAAGGAAAAGAATAACTCCAGTGTGCAAAAGGCAGGTAATGGGGCCTCTGGTGAACACTGGTTTAACAAACATGGGCTAAGTGGAACACAGATGTGGCCCGCTTGTGCCACAGGCGTTACGTGTTTCATTTAGGGCAAGAAAGTTGCTTCAATCTTCACAGTAAGGCAGAGAATAAATGTACTAAGAAATAACATTTAAATAATCTCTTTTTTTTTAACCATCTAAAAACAACTCAGAGCCTGACTCAAACTGTAAAGATATTTTCCAATTCTTTTCATTGTAAAAACAAACATACACTTTGGTCAACAGAACGTACTCCCTTAATACTCAATAAACTCTGCACATCAGACTTTTGATAATTGGTTGCTCTTAACTTCTTGGCTGAATAACCTGAATGCTACGTCATGGGGGAAAGCGGTTGATCATTCAATAATGGTATATTAAGGAGGAAACATATATAACATTCCCGAGCCTCAGTTTCTTCATCTGTAAAATGGGATTTGGTAGTTATGAGGATTAAAGGAGATAAGTAATGTAACATATATGCCTAGAACATTATTAGCTACTCAAGAAACTATAGCAATTGTACATTATCACCCCCCCCCCATATATTTATTTGATCTCATACATCCAGCTGCCTACTTCCTGGCTTCCTTTTCTAAGGAAGAGTCTGGTTGTCAAGGCCAGCTCTGAGGCACCTCTGTTGCTTGGTAAAGAGTTCAGGGGGCTGATGATCTCTTGGCTTTCCAGGGAGGGCTTGGATGAAGTGGCCCACAAAGGACTGGCAGTCTCAGCCAGGGCTAAGGCTCCATGATGAAAGAGGCAGCTGACACCCAACTAAAAATGTCTCATTTGGAAAGGGCCAGTCCCAAGGAGCTCAGGTCCAGTAGAACAAAGTGTGTGTGTGTGTGTGTGTGCGCGTGCGTGCATGTGTGCAGCTACTTCTGTGCCAGAAAGCAACAAAGAGCAAAGAAGGCATTTTGGATCCAGGTAGACACAGAGGCTGAACAAGGCCAAACGGTAACAAATTCCTGATGGGTCCAGGATATGCTTGTAATTCGGTTTTGATCAGAATCATGGGAAAAATGAAGTTCGTGAAACCAGGCACTACTGTATTGTGCTTCCATGCATGCGTGTATGGCTGAGAAAATGGAGCTGCATATGGTACAAGGGGATGTAAATTGAAAAATTCTAATATGATAGCTATTTAAAAAAAGAAAATGCATGTGGTAGCTGTTTTGGGGTAAAGTGTTATAGTTTAAATGTATAAATAAAAAATGCCTTCTAGTTTTGTTTTTACCATTAACTAGCTGTCTGATCATTCAAATTTATTCAATTTCTTTGCAACTCTTTCTTCATTTTTACAATGGGGACATGATCACCTGCTGGGAAAATTTCAAAGCTATTGGGAGAATGAGTTAAATGAGATAAGACATGAGGAAGCTTTGAAAAATGCTCCAGCACTGTGCAAACTGAACGTGAGATCCTTACCCACTGCAAAGGATAGAGAGAGCTACCCTGTGTAGAGCAAGTCCTTTTCCCTGGTGGGTACTTTTCCAGATCCTTAGTCTTCATTTTCTTCTTTTTGGTACCGGGGATTGAACTCGGGTCCTTGCGCTTGTGCAGCAGGCAGCGAAACCACTGAGCTAAATCCCTGGCTCCCATTTTCTTTGTTTTTTTTAATACCAGGGATCAAACTCAGGACCTTGTGCTTGCGAGTCAGGCACAGCACCCCTGAGCTAAATCCCCGGCCCTGGTCTTCATTTTCACATAGTTCCCACAATAATCACAAGGTAAGCAGATTATCTCTTTTATAGGTGAGGCAATAAGGCTCAGAGGAGGTAACTACCCAAGGCCACAAAGCCAGAAAGTGGAGGAGCCAGGGCTAGTGACTCCTCAACCCATAAAAAGAGCACAAGTGTAGGTATCCTGGACATAAGAGTGCTCAGAGCACGATCAGAAGTGACCTCTCCTTTTCCGTCACCCTTTTCACTAGACCCATGAAGACATTGCCATGCCCTGTGCTAGTGATCTGTGTATCCCTGTAGGCTGTATGTCCCTTGGGGCCTGGATTCTTTTGAATCTAGCACATGTTCCCCAACAAATCTTTGTAAAATTGAACTAAAGATTTGGAAGGTAAATGTATCCAATATACAAGTGTCTGATTATCAAAAAGCAGTGCTGTACATTCACTTAGAAGATCTAGAGGCACACACAGTTCCTTACAAAGTCCTGTGGGTCACCCCACTCACTGCCTCACTTCTTCATTCTTGTTCCCACCTGGAAAAAGAACTATTGCTACCTCCTAGGAAGTCACAGGGAGCAGTGTAGGAAGAGCCCAGGTCAAGAACAAAATAGCTACAATGTACATCCTCTACTGTATCTCCCAGCAGAGATCATGCATATAGTAGGGAGCCCATACAGCAAGTTTGGATACTCATGATTACATAAAATTATGGCCTAGAACTGAGCTGTCAGTGCAGGGTTTGGGCAGCAGGTTCTCATACCTTGCTGCTAGGAATATAAATAGGTAATTTATGTGAAAAACCTAGAAGATGTACATGCCCTTTGGCTCACTAGTTCTAGAAATTTATCCTACTGGAAGTAAGAATTGTTGCAAAGTTTTACCTATGAGGATATCTGCCTAGAAAAATTGGAACTTAGTTGTCCAAAATGAGATTAAATAATGTATATATGCCCAGCAGACACAATTTCCTGTAGTCATTTAAAATATTGACATGTGGAGGAAACATTTAGTGGCCTGGGATATATTAAGAATATAGTAAGGGAGAATGCAGGTTATAAAACATGAGTATTTTCTTTTTGCTTCTCTAACTTGTTGAATTTTTCCCAATAAACATGTATTTTGTTTGCAAACAGGAGAAAACTGACCTTCTAAATGTCATTTTTAAAAAGGAAGAACAGGAGGCTGATGGGAAGGGTATTCCGTCCTGGAGGGTCACACAGAAGGAAGACACCAGACAGATCTCAGATCAGGGGCCACTGTGGGGTGGCAGATCTGTTCACAGGAGCCCCAAGGCTCAGAGCACTGGGGCTCTACCAGACCCCATCCCTCGGCAGGGCAAAGGCGGCAGACAGTAATTCTATTCCTGTCACTTTCCCTGAGCGTTTCCTGGAATCAAAAATCCCATCTGAGCCAATCTCCACCTCTCTGTGGAGAAGATGGACATGGCAGACAGTATGTCCTTGGACAGGAGTCTCTGTGAGCCATCAGGGAGGGAGAAACCCAGGGTCTCAGGAGCCACAGGACAAAGAGGGCTGTGAGCGGCCTTGGAGGCAGAGGCAGAGATGAGAGAGGTGGCATTCTAGACCAGAGGAACAAAAGGGCCTGCATGCAGAATGCGGGGGGGGGGGGGGGGTCAGAGCGGGGGGGGGGGGGGGGCTTCATGCTGGGTGAGGAGGTGGGAGGTTTGCAATGTCACAAAAGTCTTAACTAAAGGAGTTGGCTTGGTCAGACCTGTGTTCTAGAGAAATTCCTCTGGCAGTCATATGAGCAACCTAAAGAGAGGTAGCCCATGCTAGCCACTTCTCAGGGGATATGTACATGGGATGGGTGCACATGGGCAGACAAGCTGCTCCAAGTGTGTGATGTAAGAAAATGGACAACTGGGCATAGTGGCAGATGCCAGCACTTGGGAGGCTGAGGCAGGAGGGTTGCTGAGAGTACAAGGTCAGCCTGGGCTGCATAGTGAGTTCACGGCAAGCCTGGACTACATAGTGAGACTGTATTAAAAAAACAAACAAACAAAAGCAACAACAACAACAACAACAACAAAAACAAACCAAAAAAAAGAAAAAGAAAATGGACAGAATAGAAACTCTCATTTGTGGAGTGGCTACTATGTGCTATTTATACACATTACCTCTTCTAATCCAGTAAAAATCTATTTCCTCTAGCTAGTTTCACAGAAGTCTAGAAACTCACCCAAGGCCACACAGTAACATCTTACATAACCAGCATGGAACCCAGCTCATCTGCCTCAGAAGCCCAGATCCACAGAAGTTGCCCTGTCTCTGATTTAGATCATTTGTGGAAGAACTTTGTTCTCCACTCTGAGATTCATATTAAATATGAGTATTGATATTAAACCAGTAGCCAAAGTTGCATCTCTGTGATTGAGGCAGCAGCTTATTTCAATGTGTCTGCAGACAGGGAACTGACAGTTGTGTGATAAGGTGTGAAAATGTCTGTTCTACAAGAGTCTACCTGGCTCTCCCTGCACCGCATGTGCTCGCTCTCTCCCTTCAATGCACTCGGAAGTGTTTGGGCAGAAACTCAAGCCAACTGTGAATCTGCTCCTTTCAATCATGGAGACTCTAAACAAGCTCAATTTGTCTTTTAAAGATCAAGGGTTTAAAAGCTTTACAAAGGGCTGTGAAATGAGCCCATTTAGTTACAACATTTTGGTACTACAGAAAAACGATAAAATTTTCAGGAGTTCTTCAAGAGGCACAAAATTACATTCTTATATGAGTACTCTAATGTTTCCTGCAGGTGAGGAGCAAGTGTGCGCAGGCCGTCCTCATGCCAGCCTGGCACGGAGCAGCAGTGCAATATAATTTGTCAACATTCTTCTGCAAGCCAGCTCTGTCAGGGACATGTTCCAAGAGAGCACCACATCCTCCCTTCGAAAGCAAAGGCTGGGTAGGATCCTTGTCATTTCTTCTTCTTCCTAATTTTGAACAAGTCAGACTTCAAAGGAGGCCAACCTATGGCAGAACTTGATCACCTCGCTCCATTTACCCAGAGAAATGTATCTCCATCTTTCTTTTTTTTTGTTGTTGCTGGGCTGAGGCAGAGCAGGTGTGGAATAAAGCCACACTATAAGATCTATGAACAATTATTTGCCAATGGTCACACAGATAGCCTGAAAGCTTCTCTTTCAGAGGCTTTGAAATCTGCAGCACAAATGAACAAGGGACAGAGAAGGGGCCCTGCTCAGTCATATTAGAGATGGACCCGCCACACACCACAATGACCTCTCCACAGGTCGGCCCCACATTTTCTATTTGCAATTCAAACCCAAGGCAAGAGCAGAGAGGGCAAGATTGGGTTCTTGATTATATCTGGGAGGTCACCATTGCTATGCAGAGTTAGAGGAGGCCAGGTGGCAACCCAGTACATTTGAAAATTGGATCTTTGTTGGGAACTGCCTCAATTTCATAGCAAAACCCAAACTTGAGATGTCTATCCGATGCATCTAGGGAGCCACATGGATAGGTTCCATGTAAAGGAGAGGGGGTAAAGGGAAAGGGAAGAAAAAAGCCAAGGAAATATTTTCCACTGTAGTGAGAGAGGTCAGATGAAGCCAAGTCCTAAATTAGTTCAAGAAAAGGAGCTGGGGAGCGCCAGAGACCCAGGGCCTGCATGTACTGAACAATACTAGAGTTTCAATTACAAAACAGCTCTTCTGAGAACAACTGCAAAATATCAAGTCTGTGGAAATCTGTAAGACCGAAGGGGGGAAAAGTGAAAATTGAAAAGGGTGCACTAATAGATCTGTCAACAGTCCAATGGTGACAAACCACATTTCTATAAAATGCCTTCACCGTTTGTGTCACCTGAAATGTACTGACACTCTCTATAGAACATTATCTCCTGAAGCTATTCTTGAAAAGACTGGCAGGGGGAAAAAGAGGGGAGGGAAAAAATAGGCTTTAGGTACTGTCAAGGAGTGGAAAGGGAGGTGGTGTGGAAGGAACATGATCTAGATTGTTTAAATGAACCTCTGAATGAACATGTTTAAAAAAGCTGGGCTCCACAGCTGTTGCAGAAAGGATATGCATCATAGATAGGGGTTTTTCTGAAGGCCAGATGCCTGGACATCTGAGTACAAAAGTGAGATGGTGTCTCAGGGTTCATGGTCTGCTGAGAGAAAATGTGATCCACGAAGGCACATGTGTCCACTGTCTTCAGGGGGGACCCCACCTTTGCTTACTTTAGGTGACATTCTAACCAACCAGAGTCTACTATTAGCCAGAGGAGGGAAACTCCCCTCCCTGCCACTTTGTATCTGTAATCCAAGTCAGCTCTGTGTGACTGGGATAGGAGATAAAAAATATATTTAGCAACTTGAATAACATCTAAGTAAGGAACCCCACCTGCCAGCGTCTGGCAGGGTGCAAAGACTATAGTCAAGGGCTGTCTGGATTTACATTGTAGGGTTTGTATTCAGGATGTGGATCTCAGTGCTTAAGAATTCACTGTCAGCCGAAACTAAGAATTTAAATGCTTAGTCAGAGCAAATTATTTTCCAATTAAAAGAAAGGAATCAATTCCTTTGACCATTTCAAGTTAATTAGAGGTCCTTTCTGACTTCATAGAATTGAAACGGCTTTCAATCAAGAAAAAAAAAACTGCAGAGATAGACAAAGGCCCTGATTAGAATGGTACATTTGGGGGCACTGGGATAAGAAGTGATACCACACATCTTTTAGAAAACCAAACACTTGTTTTAGGAAGGCAGTGGTAAGTGCCCAGACGCTGGGAGTCATGGACCTGGAATCTAATTCTGTCTCTGCTGAGCTCAAACACTGTGACCTTGGGCAAGTCATGTTACTTCCAAAACAGTCTCTTAATTTATGAAATGGGAATAATACTGTACAGAGTTAAGGATTAAATGTTAAAGCTTCTAGCCTGGACCATCCCTAACAAAGGCTTAACAAAGGATGGTAAGAATCAATCATCATGATCATGCTGCAGTAGTATCAACATGTCCACTCTGTCACTGTAACCTAACATATACACCTAGAGATTCAGACTAGGGGACTCTCAGCCAGGATGTAGCCAGTGTGACTTCACATAGTTTTAGCAATAGTCTAAGACGACACGTGGCTTAAACATATACTGCGGGCCTCCTCTCCTTTAATCCACCATGGTGGGAGAGGCTGCAGCACCCTCCTCCAGCCCACCTGCTGTGCAGTCTATGTGCCTGCTGGAACCAGGGTAGCCCTTTCCTTGGGGCTCCTTCTTGCTTTGCTCTGGGGCAGAGGATGCCTGAAGGAATGGGGTGTGAAGATGGGGGTGCCATGCCAACTTCTACAGATGCCTTCAAACCCCAGGCCTAGTGGGGTGGGGAGGGTACAGACCAGAAGTGGTGACTCTGAACTTGCCTGCCTTTGTGGGTTTAAGCCAGAGTCTTAATGTTGTCTGAAGACAGTTTTTTGTCTGTGAATATTTATAACAGTGTGAAAACTCCCGGACAGCTGGTAATGCATTTTGAAGTGTGCTAACAACACTGTATCAAACAGCCCTCTATTGATCACATCCTACTTTTTTGTGGCCACGCATTTCATACACGGTGGTTATACATTTTGAATAAGAACTTCAAGTACCTTTTGCTTCAAGCGGTTTTTCACCTCTTTTATTCCCATTTTTGCATGATCTTTTGCCTGCATGAAAAATTAATTTAAGTTAAGATTCCCTTTCTGTTTCCAGCAGGGACTACGCTTGATTTCAGTCCGTCGTGAATCACCTTCTCTGATTACTAGAAAAAGGAAGGAAAAATGGGATCATCAAGTCGAAAACATAATGGCTATGAAAACAAATACAACAGTAAAAGGTTAAAAAAAAAACACCTTAAAGGGGCTGCAGAGATTTTATTTTTTGCATTTTGATGGCACACCCGCCCCCCCCCGCCCCGCCCTTTCCCAAGCCCTTCTTCTGTTCTGTATATTTATCTCCGCAGCCTGGTGACAGCTACCAGTAAGAGTAGAAGAATAGTAGCTTTACTGGCTGCAAGATTCAGAATACCCATTACATTTCACCAGGGCAGGGACTAAGGACCAGTTTTCTGCTCAGGCTGAATGGCCAAAACAGAAACATTGCTGCATTTCTTTGGTGTCATTTCCTAAATCTCATTTTGGTGGACACCCTGGGTTTTATTTTATATCATTTTAGACCTGTTTGTTGTGTTGGAAGCCACTTAGCCTGTCTCAAGAACTATAATTTATGCCAGACTATAATTTATGCTGGCATGGTGGCGCATGCCTGTAATCCCAGCACTGGGGAGGCTGAGGCAGGAGGATCACCAGGAGTTTGAGGCCAGCCTGGGCTACATAGTGAATTCAGGACTAGCCTGAACTATAAAGGGAGACCCTGCCTCAAAAACCCCCCAAAACCCCAAACAAACAAACAAACAAACAAAGGCAAGAACTATAATTTAAGCACAGAGTGGACTAACATAATTAAAAATGAAAAGAAAACAAAATCATCCTACTTCAGTGGCTCAGGGTCAAATTAGCAAGTAAGAGAAATCACAAGAAAAAAATACTTGAGGCTTGTAAAAAGATGGAGCACCAGGCACTGACAGGTTCTCCTACTGTCACTCTGCTGGGGGCACGAGTCTCACAAATAACGCATTTCCTACAGGGGAGCGATGAGAGAGATGAATTTGGGACAGAAATTAGGGGGTATTCCCACAACAGCATTCTTCAGTAGCCTGCAAAGGAGCTGCTTTACTTTAACATCATAACAGGGACACACACAAGAACGGCTTGTCAGGACACATTTAGGCCATGTCTCCAGATCTCCAGACTGAATGCATGGACTAGCCTAATGTTTAGCTGCTCAGTCTACATTTGAAAAACTAAAACAGTGGCCTCCCATGTCTTTACTGCAGTAACTGTGAGCAACAACACCTTAAATTAAAAATGTCACTGACCTGGTCATAAAATATCAATGCCAACTAAGTTGAAAAACAGTGCAGCAGCCCCCGGGTCACCTATGCAATAGAGGATCAGGTGTATTTAAGAGACTGGTTGTGCTGCGGAATCGATCTGTTTGGATCCTGAGACCAAGACCAGTACTTACGAACTTGTAGACAGTCTTCATGGCCGGATTGGCCTTCGTTTTTACAGTATTCAGAATTGCTCCACTTCCTTTCTATAATAAAAAATGTCAATCAGCAATGCAAGCTGAACATAGAGAAGGCCAACACCAACAAAGACCTTTTCACGTTAATCAAGTCAGGCAACAGTTCAAGGGTATGGGGGCTGAGCAGAAAAGCAGGCCTAGATGATTACCAGTGCATGGCAGTCATAGTTGGGATAGTAGCAGAACTGCTTGGGGTAGGGGTAGGAGTAGGGGGCGTGTGCGTGCACATGTGTGTATGTGTGTGTGTGCTTGTGCGTGTGTGTGTCTGGTATATGTAGTGTGGAGATGAGGAGTGTGAAAAGTAGCTGAGGGGAGACTCTAGGCTCAGTGCTCTGCACAGCACCTGTCACCATCCCAGGCTGTCTGAGGTAAGGGTTTTCCCATAGTCACTGGTGGCTTTGCGAGAATTTCTAGTTACCATGGACAATGTTTAGGTGAGTTTCATAACCATTGACTGTAGCTGAAACCAAGCTGGGGCAGAAAATGGGGTCCTGATCAACCAGGACTATCTGGAAACACACTACCCTCACCTGGGCAACTTCCTTTCCTCACCTGGGTTTTCTGTGTTGTTTTTAAAACCTCTCTTGTAGGCTGCCTTCTTTAATATCTAAATCTTGAGAATAGGAAAGAATGAGTGGCCATCAATGTCTACCACAGCTGTAGCAGAAATCCTCCACACAAACGTCTTGCTGATTCTTTAGGAAGTGGGGGAGAAAGGTGCAGAGGAAGATTTTCCACTACCCAAGAGAGACAGTGCAGGTGGCTGAAGGCCACCTTTCCAGAGCTGTCTCCAAGCCTGTTCTTCAGTCTCATCCTTGTGGGTGTGTGGTAAGGGCTCGTATGTTATGCTCTAAGGCCTGGAGTCAAGGTAGGCCTGGAGTCAAGGTAGGCCTGGAGTCAAAGTAGGCCTGATTTCTTCCCTGGAAGACTTCTGGCCTGGGGGCAGGGCTCACCAGGGTAAACAATACCAGATCAGGTGGTGTGACTGCGCACAGGGATCACGAGTCACGAGTCACAGGAGGTAAAGGAAGATCTCACAGCAAGCGACATTTGACCTGATCCATGAAGGATGAGTAGAAGTAGATGTGAGGGACAGGAGGATAAGATATTCTTGGGACAAGAAATACATAAAAAAAAGGTGAAAAGGAAGGTGAAAAGCCATGGTATATTCTGGGAGTACCAAGTGGCTATAGTACAGTGCACAATATATCATGGGAGAAACAGAAGTGAGGCTGGCAGGCCAGATGGGGACAGATCATGAAGAGCCCAGCATGCCCAGCTAATAGGTCTACACTCTGGAGGGTTTTAATCAAATGCATTACATAATCAGATTTGTGGTGGCTTGAAAAGTCAATCCAATGGATTCAAGTGGAGAGAGACTAGCACCGTTGGGTATGTAACTGCATAAAAGGCAGCAGTGCAATTATTGGCTTTAACTTTTAGCATGGTTTTTGGTAACTGTTTGCATTAGAAATTTTGAGCTTTAATTAAAAAACATTACAATTTGACCTAGAAAGCATTCTGCATCGTAGGACAATAGGAAAATTTCACCCACTCATATATTCCACACTGCCTTCCAAAATTACTCGTATCCTAGTTAAATGGTCCTTTGGAGTCCTGAAACTCCCTTTATCAATCAATCAACAAGTCCTTATTGCTTGTCTCTGATTTGCCAAGTGCTGTGTTTGGCCATAGGAGAAGAATAAAGGAAGTCTTTCATCAAGGAATTGCTTACTCTCGGCCAACTGTAGCCAATTCCAAGGGACCTTCCTTGGCAGCAGTGCACTTGGCCCCAAAGCAGCACAGAACACTTATCGTATTATGCTGGAGTTGCCTACTTATGTGCTTGCCTCCCCAACAAGATGGGGAGCTCCCCTGGAGCAGGGCCTGTGTGCTGCTCTGTGCTGTATCCCCAGTACCAAGCTAGTGCCCAGCACACAGCAGGCCTTCAGCACATACTCAATTGTAAGCTAACAGGAAAGTAAGCAAGACTTTGAATTCTTTAAAGTCTCTGGAAGCCCAAGACTGGCTCCTGACCCAAGAAACTGTTCACACCAACTGTGAGATGGAAAAATCTCTCAGGGATGTGTTCCCCATGTTCCCAGGAGCCTTTGCTGTGAAAGATACTATAGAGCAGCAAAAGGGACACACTTTTGTTTTTCTCATGATGATGTCAAGTGCACTGGCCCTAGAAGGAGACTTCCAGAAATGTTCTAGGACAACATTCTGTTCACTAGCCTTGCCTGGCTTCTTGGAGAAGAGGATGCCTGTCTTGCTCCCCTTTTCTCCCTATACCCAGACAGGCTGTGGACCATCCCATCCTTCTAGTCTCTGCCTGGGAGGAGATCAGCCTGGCTTTAAGACAAAAGGATCTTCAGCTGAGAGAATGGAGAACTCCAGGCCTCATAGCAGCTTTGTGGGTGGTTGGGGAGCAGAGGGCAGCCAAGAAGCCAAGGAGGAGGCCAGGTGTCTCTGAACAGGGTGCACTTACCCGGACTGTGGAGAGCCACTGATGGTACAGTTTATCACTGCCTGGGGGAAAGAGAAGTCAGAGAAGTGTGATTTAAAGAGTTCTTTAAATTGCTTTCAGCAGGCAGGACTGGGAAAATTTGGTCAGGAGAATGGCCTGGAGGCTCCCATGGCCCACTCCCTGGAGGAGGCAGAAGTGAATCATAGCCACAGTTTTCTTTCCAGGTTGTCTGCATCAGTGCCCTGACTACAAACCCTCCAGGCCTCCAAGCTGCCAACTTGACTCCCCAGCATCCCACCTCCCCTCCCCAGCCTCTTCTCTGCTGCCTGACCCTCTGCCTCTGTCCTGGGCTTCCATTCTGCACGGGCTTCTGCTCTGGCTATGAGGTACTATCTGCAGTTCCCAAACCAGTATTCTCTTAGCCCCAGACTTTTGCAAGCTGGTTCCCTTGCCTGAGCCCCCATCCCTTACTCTCTCTGCCTAGGAAACTCAATAGACATCTGAAATGTCATTTTCTCTGGACACTTCTCTCCTCTGAAAATCCCTGAGCACAGGCAACACCACTTAGGAGCCCACTGTGAGCCTTGCTAGGGCAGGAACCACTGCGACTGAGAGTTCCAGTGGACTCATCCTACTGCACACACACTCACTCTCCAGGGCACCCAACTAGTGACAGGGAAGGAAGAAGGAGGTGCTGTTGGCTCATTTCATCTAATACAGGTTAAAGGGTCTCATCACCAGAAAGCTTTTTTAGAAGCCCCAAACTTGGTTTAATAAAGCCTATCTTCTGCTCAGAATTCACACTCCATGGCTGGAATCTGACTCAAGCCCTGTTCCTTTGGAAATTTCTCATAGCATGCAGGGAACATCATGAAAGCCTGATTCCAATGCATAAAAACCTGCTCCTATTTTTCCTATACTATTTTTTTTTTTTGGTACCAGGGATCAAACTCAGGACTTTGCGCTTATAAGCCAGGTGGCGGTACCACTGAGCTAAATCCCCGGCCCGTGCTCAGGAAATTCTTGTCAATTACTGTGTACAGACTCCATACTGGTCTTACTGTTTTTTTTTTTTCCGGTACCAGGGATTGAACCCAGGACCTTGCACTTGCTGGCCAGGCATGGTGCCACTGAGCCACATCACTATCCCTCATACTGGTCTTACTAATTGAGTGTGTTCTCCATGCAGCATGGAGTGGCAGAGCCTGTAATATGAATAAGTGGAGGTTACGCCTGGCTCTGTGAGTTGTATACTGCTGGTCAGATTACCAGAATGGTCCAGGTTGGACATGCACAGCACTAAGAGGGACTAGAAACATGAGTGTTGTCATTTTGCATCCAAAGTCTGAACCTATGAGCATCAGCATTGGTGTCAAAGACTGTACCTACAAGTATTGTTATCTTCTCTGTCAAAGATGGAGCTATGGGATGTGGAATTCAGGAGGCACAACTGACAAGGGACACCTTCTCTGGGCCTCAGATGCTGCCTCTGATAAACCCCTCCTGTTCTAAAGAGACTGGGTAGGCAGCAATGACGTCCACAGTCTAAAGAAACATTTGCTGTGCCAAGAAGGGTCCTGGGTGATTGCACAAAACTTTCCTCCCTGCTTTGATTTCATCTCAGGAGGAGTCCTGTGAGGCAGGCAGTGCCACTCTCAGGGCATAAACAGGAGAACTTCAGCTAAAACAGAATTAGTGACCTGACCCAGGTCTCACGGCTGGCAAAGAGGAAGGGTTCCAATTTGAATCCAGATCCCTAATTCAGTATCTTGTGTGACTCTGTCTATGCAGGAAAAGCAACCAGCCCCAGGACAGAGGATATCATAGAGGCCAATGTACATCTTATCAAAAATGGAGAGGAATTCCCCAACCATTTCAGGCTAATGTTGAAATCAGAATCTTCCTAACCCCTGATGAAGGAGAAAATGAGTCCTTGCTGCTCCATGTCAGCCATACCCTAGTCTGTAGCAGCCCACAGCCCAGAAGGGAAAAGAGGGGCTTCTCACCAGCATATTCGCCCATGTTGATCTCCTCTTCAAAAACATCGCTGAAACCTTCACCAGAATTGAGAAGGTCTAGTCGCCCATCAATAAACTAGAGAGAGAGCAAAAGCACAACATCTTGTCCATAGAACAGGGAAAACCATCCAGCTTGGCATCTTGGTGTATGCCCTAAGAATAGCCATGCTTTCCAGGACAGGAAAGCACCTCTGAAACTGAGTTTTCTAAAAATCAAAATCTAAAAACACCACAGCACATTTGCAAGGGGCCTATCTGGTGGCTGACCACCCTCCTCTGAGTTCTTTAGCTAAGGTTCCCTCCCCGCCTGCAGCCTCAGGGCATAGGGTGGATACAGCTGCAGAAATCCCTGCAGGGGACCCGATATGGAACAGTGAGGGAGGCTGGGCACCTGCTTGAAAAGCTGTAGCTGTGTGGCATTTTGCAGGAACTGCCTCATGGCTCCGGAGCGATAGTGGGACACGAAGGCTTCCTCGCAGAAGGTGATGGGTTCCTCCTGGAAAACGGAGAAGAGACAGCAGGATCAGAGGCAGGGACGGAGAGCCACTGGTACTTAACATCCTTTCAGCAAAACTTCCACACCTGCTAATTTACTAATTCTAATAATGAAGCCACTGGCATCATCAGAATCATTCTAATCTATGGCTGAAGAAGCCATTTCAGGGAGGAAGTCAAACCCCAAAGTCACAGAGAGTGTAAGGAGGGAGAGCAAGCAACCAAGTCAGATTCCCAAGTCCTCATTCTTCCCCTTTCCTATCAGTGACAGCCATACCCTGACAGTAAGGTAGAGGCATGCCTTCCAGTGTGACAATTTCCAAACTTTTCTTTTTTACTTTTAAGGATAGATCCCTGGGTTCACACAGAACTTCATGCAGAAGGACCCCTGCTACACAGGCAGAACTGAGATCCTCTGATGGGAGCTGGGGGCAGCAAGTGGGAGGCTGGGCTTCCCTTGCTTGGTGGCCTTCTCCTCAGCCCCCACCCCCAGTCACCTCTGACCTTCCATGGGTGTCAGCCATGGAACACAGTTTGTAACCCATTTACCCAGTGATCTTAACCTCTACCGAATTATAATTTAAAAACAATTATGATTAAAAATAAAATTTTCCATCTAGCCAATTTTGTGTGTAAGCTCTCTGATAAGGAAGTCTGCTTTCACCAACTACATTTTGCAAGTCAAGAAGACGATACTCTATGCTTTAAAAATTCCCAGCCTTGTATAGTCAACACCTCAATCTTTCTTTGAACACATTTGGAGTGCTTATCTATGCACACAAGTCTTTAATTTCGGTGGTGTATTCTCAACTCTGAAAGATCAGACTTTTATATCTTCAGCTGAATTAAGGGTACCCTCACCCTCTTCACAGACTTGGTGGCAAACACAGAGATGTTTGAAGTTCCACTTTTATCCAGTTTTAATGAGTTACGTGAGTGTTAAATTTACTGTCTAGCTTTTGCAAGTTCCAAGAGTTCCTCCTGTTTCAATCTAGCCAATATTAGCTTGCAACTGGGAAGACTTATTGCACAGGCTGCAAGGATGACCCAAGAATATGTGGGTGGGGGAAAATTTAGTTTCATACAGTTCTTCCCTATTTAATTTTACAAAGCATCTGAGACAACAAAGAAAAACTCAGGCCTGAGAAATACAGAAATATATAAAATGTATTTATCTGGGAATCTAGATATATTGATCCTACATAGTTTCTAAAATGTAGTTATAGCATTAGCTCTGAGCTTCCAAGCTGCAGAAGCAAAAAGGAAAACAATAGAAACTTTGTATTGTGTATGAGAGGAGAAAAAAAAATGCCAGTTCCCAGGGAGGAAGAGCTGTTCATGACATTTAGTACAATGGCATGGGTTGCTATCTTGTCACTGAACAGCGGAGGGACCAGCTACTGAAAACCAAGAGGAGTCTAGCTAGAACTCCATTTGTGAGGCCTGGAAGATCTGCTTCTCACCTTTGGGACCACGGCAGAGCAATTAATTCTCTCTGCAGGTGATCTCATCCATGCCACAGCATCACTCATATACTGGCAACTTCTGATACATACTGTCAGCTCAGATACCTTCTGCCTAGACTGTCCTTCTGCTAACTCAAGCCTGTGTGTGGCAGTCATTCATCCCTGCTCAGACAGTCTTCCCCAGTGTCCCCTGCTGAACTCATCCCTATACTCTCCAGGGACAGTACTGAACCCAGCCTCCAATTAGAAACTCAAGGATGTTAGTTAAGAACTAAAGAATGAGCATGACCCTGGTTCCTGCTGCAGGAGCCCTGTAGTCCTGGTGTGGTGGACACACTGCTTGGCCTGATAGTAACAAGGTCTTGGAATGCGATACCAGGTGAGTAACACTTGTGTCCAGTGGGTTTAGAGCTGCTCAGAGGAAATGCTCATTGGAGTTGCTAGCATTCACCCTTGGAGCTTTGGCCCAGCATTGCCAGGAAGATGTCTGCAGAGCGACTGATAAATTCAAGAGTCTGGAGCCAGGGTACCCTGAGGCAGGACTTAGCCACAGGAGAACAGGAAGAATCTCATCTTTGGGGACACAGGAACAGTTTGGACCTGCTATCTACTTACTACAGGTGACATCCCCCTGGACCAGGTGTCTATGCCATAAAAATGGACAAAAGGACATGGACATGGATGGGAAACCTTCAGGGGAATGTGACAAAGGGGAGTTTTTCTGAAAAAAGCTTAAGCAGTAACACTAACTGTGTTACTTAGACATGGAAACAAATATTATCATGCAGTGTGGAATCACTGGGGGCAGTGGGCAAAATGCCCACAGGAGTCAAAACAAAAGGTGAAGCATTTTGGGCTAGCAGGTCAGACAATATGACAGGAAGTGGACATTTTTTAGCTGAGCTTGGAAGGGTGAATGTGAGTTAGGCAGTTGGCTCAAGCCAATTCTTCCCTTCTAAGACAATGACAACAATTGCCGTGTACTTCATCTTGTCACAGGTTCTGGGGGAGGTGCTGTGATACACACTTCACAATTCTTTCACCAGTCTGAAATTTTACAATGGAATATTTTTCAGCTCAAAAAGGAAAGGAAGAAATTATACTCCAAGTTTACAGAAGAATAACTGAGGTAACTTGGGTGACTTGCCCAAGGAGGTACAACTTGGGGATGGCAGGGACAGGGTTCAGTCCCTGTGGCCTCCAAAGCCCAGGTGTTGCCGCCAAGCCTGTGGCCTACTGTAGATATGGCTTTACTCTGAAGCCTTGGTTCTAACTGTGGGACCTCTGGCATCTGCTACAGAGCAGGAGTGTTCTCTTTAACAATGCAGCCCTTCGGGTTACCTGGGACCCTCAGCACCAGTCCTCCAGAGACTAATTGCTCCCTGAAGAAAGCAGGGTGCTGTGAAGGTTGTTTCTGCCACAGGTCCAAGGCAGGGACACAGAGCGCCCTTTATCCAGCTCCATCCTGCAGTTGGCACCCCACACTACTCTCCAGTGAAGAGAAGCAAAGCAAGGTGCCTCCTTAATTCCCTCCTTGTGAAGTGCTGATTTAGTCTTCTTACTACACCGGTTAAACCTTTTATCTTCTTAGGTGACTCTCTAGGTGCCAGGGCTATTGGCTGATGGCAATATTAATTCTGGGAAGTCAGGCCGTGAGCATTTGCACTTAGGTGGCATTAGTAGTTTTCCATCTATGACCCGAAGGACAGTAAAACACAGCTGCTCAACCCTATCATTACAAAAAGACAAGTTTTACTGTGGATTATCTTCTTGACATATGGAATCAATCAAAAAGTCCATCACTAATGAGTTGAATCTTTGTTAACAGGTGAAGCTGGTGATTCCAAAGGTTTCTGAGAATTCCAGAAATAAATGACTTTTTTATCCCCAGCACTGTGAGTACTAGTGTAAAAATATAACCTCCTACCAACTTCAGCAACTTTCCTTGTCCTGCTGATCTATACTTAAAAGTAGTAAACTCTTATTTTTTTCTTTACAAATTTAATTTTTATCAAAATTTTATGTGCACCTTTACTATGAGATTCTAAGAAAAAAAGTCTCCTCTTTATAGACCTTGCTTAAAATCTAAAAAACATTAATTTAGGAAGATCCATCCATACTTTCAAACATTTTAACAGTAGCTCCTATGTGCCAGGTTCTGTGTAAGGGAAATAAAAAGATAAATAGAATAGACAAATAGAATACAGCCCTTCCAAATAATAGTAACTGGATGCAGGATGGGGGATGGAATGGATGACAGTACAGATGATCCAAGAATGTCAGGAAGTTACGTCCATGGCAGCATTATTCAAAATAGCCAAAAGATGAAAGCAACCCCATGGTGTAGCTACAGATGAATTGATACACAAAATGTGGTATTTACACACAATGGAGTATTCTCAGCCTTAAAAGGGAAGGAAGGAATCTGATGCATGCCACAATATAAATGAATCTTGAAGATATTATGCTAAGTGAAATAAGCCAGTCAAAAGAGAAAAATTCGGTGAGATTCTATGTGTCAAATTAAGAGAGACAAAAAGTAGAGTGGTGGCTGCCAGGGGTCTTGGGGAGAGGGGATGGGGAGTTGGTTGGCGGGAACAGAGTTTCAGATTTGCAAGATGAAACAGTTGTGGGGATGGAAGGAGGTGATGATTCTATAACAGAGTGAATGTACTTAATGCTACTGAGTTGTCTATTTTAAAATGGCTAGAATGGTAAATTTTATGCATACTTTACAATGAAAAACTTTAAAAACTTTTACAATCTTAATTTAATCTTAAAAATGATAGAACATTTTATAATTATGGAATCTGGATACTTGGGGATTCCCTGACTTTGTGTAAGTCTGAAAAATTCCAAATAAAGGTTAAAAAGGAAAGCCCCTGTTACCAAAGAATCTTGTCTGGTTCAGGGAATAAACAGTTACAGGTCTAGGTTTGGTTCTGGTACAGGCACCTTCATAAAAACTTAAAACTCTGTTTTGATTGGATCACTTTATTTTTTTTTGTTTGTTTTTTTGGTACCAGGGATTGAACTCTGGACCTTGTGCTTGCAAGGCAGGTGGTGGCACCACTGAGCTAAATCCCTGGCCCCATACTGGATCCCTTTAAGGCAACTCAAAGTGGTGGAGAGAGAATGTGTCTTGGGGTCAAAAGACCTGAAATGAGCTAGCTATGTGATTGGAGGTGACTTGTCTTTCTTCATCTGTGATAATCATACAATGCTGGTTCTACCTCTCAGGGTCACATTCTCTTGAGGGCAGAGATTGGATATACCATGGGTGGCAATGTGATATGCAGGGTCCACAGCAAAATGAATAAACAGGAAAAAAATGACACTAAAGTATAAAAGCACACACGAAAATCTAAAACTTTTTTTTTTTTTTTACGATCTCTTTCTAGGCCTATTATAAGGTATTTTCATTTACTATTTTATGTCATTCTAAGTGATGAAAAAATTACTTTTTCTTTCTTTTGAGATGTTAGGGATTGAACTCAGCACTTTGTTCATGATAGGCATGTGCTCTACTTACTGA